CGGTTCAAACCATCCCAGCATGTCCCTTGTTTTTAACACCAGATGAACTGCACTGGGTGCTGTACTATGACGGCACAGCCGAGGCTCTCCATCTGCTATGACCATTAGGCATCAGCTGGTATTGCAAGAAATGGTACACAAAAGTGAAGGGGGGGTCTCCCCTGATCCCTGGAGTGGGCATAGTGTCTTGTTATTAGTGCACAAGGCATGAGATTTGAGCTGCTTTGTTGCTAATATGGTTTGGCTCCCCTCAACTATTTTTTTTTTGAATTAAAATATAACACTATTTTTTTGAAAGGGAGGCTTGTAAGGGCCCTTCAGGTCTTCCAAATTCAAAGCCTGACGAGTGCACATGATCTTTTCCTCATCTTCTCTGACCAAATACAACCACAGTTAAAAGTCTAATAACTGTACCTTATGCTTATTATCACAGAACTGTCATCATACATTATCTGAATTTATCTTTAGAAACACATTTTCCATCACACTGGTAAAGTACTGAAGTGTGGATGGAAGGGATCAAAGGGTACTCCTAGTGAATTACTTTCCCTGCACATGGTATGCATTGCAGCCATTGCAGCCAAAGACACATGAATGGCTTTTAATATATTGCTGTGAGGGACATACATACGATATTTGCTGGACTGGATTTCATTGACAGCTGTGCCTAGATGAACTAGTTTCATACCATGTTCCTTAAACATCACCTTGCAAATGTGCAAGGGATGTAAGAATCTTCCTTTTCCTTCACAATACAGTACGAACAAAATGCCCTACCCGTCGTAAATTATCACAGGATATGTTTTGATTAGCATTATCTGGCACGTTGAGTGTCTTCTCACAGAAAAGGCCTGCCTGCACAATATCTGCTGACTCTTCTTAGTACAATTAGATTTAAGTATTAGCAAAAAGTAAACAAACAGCACCAATTTTACCCCTCTCTCCTAAAACATGGCCAAAACAAGATACTCCAATATCAATTACTGAGGTTAGTATTTCATATTTACCTTACTTATTTTTTAATTTATATGGAAAAAAAGTTCAGCTGGACTGAAGCTAGGGAGATCAAAAATTGACTTACTCTTTTAACTTCAGCTATCCGATTTATGTACAAAGGCCCAATGCCTTTGAAATGTCATTCAAATAAATCTATGTAAATAGCATTTCTGTATTATATGAGTACAGATTGCATAGTTAGTGATTACTATTTCATACGAAAAGAAGATCCTAAAACTATACCTAAGATAGGACTAAGGGTTATATGCAAACGTATGACACATGTCTTTGTCCGGACTGTTGTTTGAGACCACTGCTTTAAATCGTATCAGGCTTTGATTTACTACTAGATAGAAGGTACTGTCTGTGCATATTGCACCTGGGATGAATCCCACCTCAGTCGAACTGAATGGAAGTTTTTGATGAAGCCTAAATTTCCCTGCTGGTGAAAACTGTCTCTGGAGAATAAGCTCCATTAATGGCTGTCCTATCTTCTTCAAAGGGGTTGTTACTATTTCATGACAGATTTTATGGGGTTTTGGTGGAAGTAAGTCTGACCGAAACAGCTTTTTGCAGTCTAATTTTATATATGATGTTTTTATTGCTGTTGTCCATATGCCTTGATCTCCCCTGAAGGGTGCTTTTTTTAACCCTGAGAAATGTAAATTCACATAGTAAGCCAAACTGAAAGCAACCGGTTTTATGACTGTGTTGCCACAATAAGAATGGCTGTTCTGACATAGAATAAAGTTGGATTTGTACTAAAAGCCAGCATGCCAGCTGCATGATGGCAGCATTTTATTATTTGGGCAAACAAGGACTATCAGGTCCGTATAGTAAATATATTCATTTGGAACAGTTAAAGAGTTTCCTGGTATCTTTTCAGTTCAACATATGACATATGTTTAGCAACATTGTCCACTGGGGGTCTGATGTCGCATCCCCTGAAATCAATCACACAACTCTTAGGACAGAATCAAGCCTATATTCATAGAAAGCCTGGGAGCCTTGAAGAATAATCATGTTAGCAACAGTAATGCATCCTGTAAATATTCTCCTATAGCCTTATCTTTCCCGAACTATAATTAAATGCTGGGAGAGCAGAGAAGGTCAAGAAAACGTTCCTTTTGCTATGGTGAGAGGGAAAAAGGGCACAAACGCAGAACACGTGGTACGTTGATGCGACACAGTAAGTGGGGGAGTGTACCGCCATTTTGTTATAATACAGCGAGGCAGCCCCAAAATGGCTGCAATGGTGCTTCTTTATAATGAGCCATCAAAAAGGCTCAGCTACCGGTATCAGTCGATGTTCTCCCAGGAAAGGAATCAAAACTTATGGAGCCTGTATTACCAGATTTTAACCTGGGAAAATCAAATCAAAACAAAACACTGATATTTACTGTTTTTTTCAGAGACAGCCCAAGATCTTTGTGCGACGTGCATCACGGTCTCTTACAACTTTAGGCTACGCTGTGGCTTTAAATAATATTGAAAATCAAATAGTTTACACATCTGTAAAGCTACTCAGGTGCCATTTTCCTGGACGTCTGCTGTAGTTCCTGGATGTTGCAAAATCACCCACAGCCAGTTACAGTGCCAAATTGTTCCTTACCTCTTGAGAGAAAACCAAACTCTCTTCTACCTTTGGCCCACTAGAAAGTAACAGATTATTTTGGTTTTGATTTTTGCTTTGTAATTTTAAAATGAGAGAAACCAAGGGAATAAAACAAAACCAAAAGTAGAGCCGATCTGCACTGCAATGTTACAGACACTTGGCAATATTGCATCTCCTGTAGTCAAAAACTGCTCACAAACGTGTTTCCAACTAACACTGCAGAACCTCTATAGGATACCACTTTGCTGTATTTGCATATTCAGCCCCTGCTGAGAAACGTGGCAATCCAGCTACACGTTGATGTTTCAAGTGTTTGAGAAATATTCTGTTTCAAGAAAGGGTTTGTATCTCTTCATTGTACAACGCCACCCAGAAAAAAATCACTCCCATTCCTTTGTTTTTCTTGTCCCAGCAATCATGTTTTACCAGAGCTTTGAAAAAGAGCATGGATCACCAACTATACTGCCTTTGAAATAAATTAACATTTGATTTCAAAAGCTTTTTACGAAGATATGTTCTTGGTTTTCATTTCTGAGGCCAACCTAACTTCCAATTGTAATACAGCAAGGGAAGAGCAGCAATGTTGGCCTAACAGGTGACTACTGGTCTTCTTGAGTTTTTCTGTTTTTTTCCTGAAGCTGTACATTTTCTGACGTACTGTGACTGAATCCTGATAACTGCTATGGGATGGAACCTTTTTGTCCACAGGGTTACCCTATGGCCAATCCAGAAGATCACTGCTGCCCTTCCTACCTCAAAGACTTTTCTGAATAGACCTTTTTCCATTTCTTATATTGACTAGAAGGGGTGTACATCTGTTTGTGTGCGTGTGTGCCTGTGTGCCTACCAAGGAGGAAGTAGATATAATAATTAAATGTTCTATGCAGTAGATATGAAGAATATTTATATACATAGCCACTATAAAGGCATCAAAGCTAATTGCTTCATCTTTAAGCTATATACATTTGTAAGCATACATAAGCACGCAGAATATCATAAAGCTGTGGATTCCACAACACTGTGCACTTTTAGTATTTTAAACCTGTAGCGTTCCTTTGACAAGAGACATGTCCATCCCACACAGACTGGACCTAAGGTCTTCCTTGTCCGTTAGAATGGGACTAAATGCTACTCCTGGGCAAACAAGCTTCGATCTGAGACACAAATATGAGATTATTTTCATTGATTTTTTCTAAAAACAACAAAGCGACCACTAGACAGATGAAGCTGAAAGCAGCACATTTTTGCAGTTTTCAGGAATGCTACAACAGCGCCCACCCCACAGTTACCAACGATGCCTCTCCCTTGTGAAATCTCCTTACCAAGTGGCAAAAACAGAGAAAGATGAAAACTCTTTAAACAAACCTTTTGGAAGCTTCTCGGCCAAGCTGAGGGCTGCGAGGGTGAAGATTTGTACGAAGGGAATGCTCAGGAGATCTTTCATGTTTGATCCAGAAAAATAGACGGCTCCTTCAGGCAACGAGTACGGAGCTCACTGCCTGTTTCATTTTAGACCATGGTGTGTTAACAAAAAGTTCCTGCGCTAACGACTGAGCAGGGTCTATGGGATCTAAGTATAATCAGGAATTCTCAGACTTGGCTGTGGTGATGGACGTGACCAGCTGGTGTGTATCCACTTAGGTCAGTGTGAAACCGTGGGGCTCATGAAACAAGAGAAAGCAAATCCCTTTAGAATTCCTTTTAAGCAAACAGTGAGGAATACAATGGCCAAATGCTTTTCCAAAACAATACCCTAACCCAATACAGTAAAATCAGCAGGCCATAATTTCAGCACAGTGTAAGTACGGCAGTGGAAAAAATTTTTGCCACTGGATTTTCCTTCAGCTTAGTCCTTCTCTCTTTCATTTTTTCTCCTCTCTCCCTCTCTCCGACTCCCTCTGTCTTATTATAACCTTTCATGATTGGCTGCAATAAACCACCTGTTCCCCTGCTGATTGCATTTCTTTTCTTAACAGATACATTTGCTAGAGCAGGAGAGGTTGGCATCTGGGAGCTGAAAGCAGTCATCTTTGCCAAGGAGGTTGCCAGTACTGAGAATCACTGCAGCAAATCGAAAAAGCAGAGCCTTGTCCTGGAAACAGACCCCTCATAAGCTCTGTGGAAGGGAAAAATGAGTAGCCACAGTGGGAGTGACATCTATACCCTGCAAGAAAACAAATATTTCATTTTAATATCAGCAACAGCACAGGAGATTTTGACATGGGTAGAGGCATTCCTTTAACTAAATTGAATGGTGGATGCCAACATTATTGCCTCAAAAATATCATACTATTCACTAGGTCTCTGTTTAAAGTGAAGGTCATATTTTCTAGGGAGCTTTAGCGGGGCATCAGGCTTGAGGGGATCTAACTAACTTGACTCTCGCCCCTTCTTATCACAGGGGTCTGTGTCGTATCATCTTCTTGCAAAAAATTTCAGGTCAGTTGCAGTCCCCGTTCTCCCTGTGTAGCTATTTATATGAACGACGTTTACGATCAGCATTAACGGCGTGGAATGGCTAGTCTGGGGGCAACATTTGCAGGAACAGAAGAGAAAAAGATGAATAATTAGGTTAGGGAGAATCTAACTGACAATGGTGCCCTGGGAACATGACGTATCAGGTGTGAGTTTTGCTCCCCGAAGCATTAAAAGGCATGGTTCGAGGGAAGGGAATGTGCAGCCATGACGTATCACAGTGAAAGGTACTTTGAGATCTTTGGAATTTCCTTTACTTGCTGGACATCTCAGTTTCAACTTCCTATTAGCAGTTATTTTTGCAATGAATGTACATAGTTAAGAAGTGTTTCCTCTGAGGAGCAAATGGAGAAAAGGTGGCCAGAACTATATGTAAGAATCTCAGTGGTTTGGTATAGCATAATAATATCCATGATACTTTGGGGGTATGCAACCATGACCGGGAGCAAGGATCCCTAGACAAATGCTCCCCTGAACTTGAATTAAAGGCAGAGGTATTCATCAAACATACGTTAAAGATGTTTCAGGAATTCTGGAGCTAGCAACAACCACAAAACATAACAACAAGACAACAACGAAACAATAGTAATTATACCAGGGAACAAAGAAATCCTGACTTATGGCTGAACTTTAAAATATTTCTTCTGTGTTGTTTAAGTCCAGTCACATCCAGTTCATTTGCTTCATAGAAATGCAATTTGGTCTTTTAGGGTAAAATTCTCTTCACGGAGAGAGGTGACCAAAGAGCCCAGAATCACTGGATTTTTAACCGGGTTGTGTTACGAGGACTTCAAAACTGTACCATCTTGTACAAGTCCAGGAATGACTCTTTCTCTTTATGCTTGCTGATTAAAGCATTTAGAAATGACACTGACAGCAATAGCTGTTAAATGTTAATGCCTTTTCATTTTTAGGATTGCCAAACAACTGCTAACTTCTCATTTCCTATGTTTTCTAAATTTTTATTAAGCTTGTAGTAAGCTAAGCTACTCTGAATTGAAGGAATGCAAATTTACATTATAAATGTGAACACAAATGAGAGGATATGCTTGTCCAAGGTGAAGCTACTTTGTTCTGCAGATACACGTCAAATGGCCAGTAGACAAAATACATATGGGAAGCTGGTGATCATCTTTGCCCACCACAGAAAGAAGACATTTCTGTACCTGGACACAGCAAAGGGAGGTGAGTCCAACAGGCCACTGTACTGAGGGAAATCAGTGGAATTGAAATACTGGGGACACCAACTTTTCTTTGGTTCCAAAGATATTTTCAGTCTTGAGCTTATAAAAGTAAAATGCTCTTTTAACTTTTACTCCAAGTAGTTATAAGCTTGTTGTTTGTTTGTTTTCCTAACAGAGCTGAAATGCATACAGTTTATAGCTAATTATAGTTATTGTTTACAGTCATGCCTCCAGGCCTCATCCGAGATGAGGTCCCAGCGGCCTAGACAACTCATAATGAGAAGCAGACCCCAGCTTGCAGGCGCTGCAGTCTAAAGCTTTGTTCCTGCAAAGGTTTGTGCATTAGCTTAACTCTCTGAAGAGCTCCAGGGAAATCGGTGCATGAAGTTCAGTGCAGAAATACATCTCTGAAGTCAGTGCCTACAAAGGTAAGAGAGGGGAGGAACTGCAGGGCATGCATCATCTCCTACAAGGTGTGCTGGAGTTACCTATCACCTGGTTACCATTTTTTCCCTTTGCAAATTGTTTGCAAAGTTATTTTTAGTCATACAAAGAAAGTCCGAATTTTTGAGGATGTGCTGAATAGTTTAGATTAATGTCTTTCAGTTAATTGATTGCTTGTTAACTCTCCGCCATGATGAGGAAAAATTTGATCTTCACTGTTTGCAGGACAGGATCATTCCAATCATTTTCTGTGCATATCTCTCCTCTCCCTCTTTCTTGCACGTGCTCTGCTGGCGTCTGACAGTTTCAAACTCTAACATCACATGATTTGATAGCTGGATACTTTGAAAATTGCCTTTCCTCCACATCACCAGCTGGGATGTTTTCTCTCTAGACAGTCCAAGATCTTCATCCACGTGGACAGACCAGGCCAGATATTTTCGGAAGAAGGTGTCCAGCTGGGGAACAAATTCCCTCTGCAGAGGAACAGAACGAACTTGCTTTGGCAATGGTCCCAGGGAGAGGTTTGGAGGCTACTCATGTAGATATATCCAAGTTAGCACTAGTCCAGCCTGCCCAGATGTCCATTTTAATGCAATGTCATGCATGCCAGTGTTGGCAACCTACCTGAGTAAATACAAGGTCCACTGGTGCAGCCCTCAACAAACACAGCACATCTTAGCTTTGCTACTACTGGTACTTCAGTGATGTTTCTGACTGCAGCACAGATGTAGTCTCTGAGGCCTGAGAGCAGGTTTGAGGCCTGACACACCACACTCAGTGCGAGGCCACACTGACTATTTTTACTTGCTTTTCACCAGCAGCAAGAATCCCTAAAGACTACTAGGTCATTATTATTCAGCTCTATTCATACACAAAATGATCAAGCCCTAAAAAGACCAAGCGTTAAACCCGCCAGAGTAAGGGATGAGTACTGACACAGCCAATCTCTTCAAACCCCTTCTACCTGTAGTTCCCTAAAAAATTCCCAGCAAAGAGCAGAGGATCCTGGAGAAAAGTCCCATGTATATACCAGTGTATAATATGAACAAACGTGTTTTTTCTTGGTCTCCTTCTGCAGCCCTTTTAGGCATAACCCACAGACTCATGAGGTCCAGACTTTAGAGACTGAAAATACGTGATGAAATATGCAACTATTTTATTATCTGGTATGCAAGCAGTAAGTATTACTATGTAGGGGAAAACTCCTGAAAGCAGATATTTGCTTTTAGTTGAGTTTGGGACTCTAGAGTGGGTAATAGGTTCACCCTTGATATAAATAACTGGATATATTTGTATCTGAAAATAAGATTTTCCCCGTTGTGGATTCTGGTTTTTTCATCTGCCACTCCTACAGTGCAATCAGTAAAGCCACTGATGTGACCAACAAGGCTAAGCATAAGCATATTCTCACCGCAAGGAAATCCAGAGCCTTGGTTGTCACTGGAGACAAAAGGCACAAAAACAGAGGCTAACGCAGGTGAAGCTGTCATTAGTGAAGATGGAAAACAACTGCTGAAACACACTTCAGGATGAAGTCTGATTTTTCCATATTGTGAAGGTGTTTCATGTGGAAAACCATGCACAATCTTTATCCTTTGCAAATACTGCACTTTATATTGGGCTTAGAGGGCAGGTGTTGGTTGAGGGCATCTGTGGTCATTTACAGATTTTCCAATATTCAGCAAAGCCTGATTTAGAAATAAACTGGATGTATTTCTGCTTCCCTGCCGTACTGCAACCTACAAGATATGCAGCTCAGTTTTCTGTGCCACAGTGTCCAAGCATGTGACAAAACACTATGACAGTGCTCTGACTCTCCCCCCCGACCCCGATTTGGCTAATGCTGAGTGCTTTTAAAAATTCCATATTCAAGCATCTGTAGATGTTAGACTAATTTTTGACCCAGGCAATAAGCCTCAATGGGAGGTTTCTGACAATGGATTAATTTAGCAGAAAAAATGGGTCACGGGGCTGGTTATTTTTAATGCAGCTGCCTTTATTTACCATGACAGCACCCATTCTGTTTCCCTAAACACAGCTGGAATCAGAGGGTGAGTGGCCGCTCTCCGGTCGTGGCTCCAAGCGTCTTGCAGCCAAGGTGCAACTCAGAAGCACATACACCTCATACTCTTTCTCTTGGAGCCACTCCCTTGCTGCTTCCTTCTTCAAAGCTCCTCGGCTCTCTGATGCAGGAGTCTTCACAAAACAGTTGGCAGTGAAACATTCCAGCTACTTGGGTCTGCCGTCTGCCCATGTGTCTTCCTAAACAGAAATGCATTAGGAATTCATTGCTGATAAGGTTATGGGAACACCAGTCCTCCCAGTCCCACCTTCATGT